TCCGAGGAGTCTGCACTTAGCATTTACCCCCAACTCTGAACTTGTTGTGGTTGTGGTTTTTGTTGCTGCTGCTGTTGCTGTTGCTGTTGCTGTTGCTGTTGCTGTTGTTGTTGTTGTTGCTGTTGCCAGCTTGGCAGGGGCAAGGTGGGGTTGTCGTCGTCGTCGTTGTGGTTGTCGGAGTGCAGGCCCGACCGAGATATGCCCAACACCATGGACCTCCCACCCTTCAGTTGCGGCCGGGCCGCAGCGGGTACGCCTAGCGGCTAGATATAAGAAGGAACCCTGGAAAACGATGTGGGTAACTATAACTATTCAGGCATCTACAATTAAAAACAAGAGCTTGGCAGCAGCTCTTTCTGCTCGCTCGCTGCGATAGGTGGCTGCCGCACGGGAGCAGGGCAACAACAAAGGCACATGCGAGGCTCAAGAAGCATATGGCGAATGACAGCCTTGGCACTATGGATTAGTTATAGGGGAACCACAGGTGCGCGTAAGTGCACTGCATAACCATGGGGCAGGCTGATTTTGCTTCAGCTGACAGGGAGGGCTGCTAATTGCCATGTGAAAAGTGCACTTTCTTGGTGCCGATGGTTTCCTACAACTCGTCCAGCCCAGCCCCATGAAAGTAGTATCGGGTGGCAATATCCACAGTCTGAAGCAATCAATATTGAGCAGAGGATGTCGGGCAGCACCACCGATTCAAACTCGTTGTCTTAGAGATAAAGGGCTTCATGACCCCTAAGCTAAACATGCGCGTCCCCACAGGCCTCGCAAGATCTAAATCTAGCTTGCGATCTCGCAGGCTGCATATGTGACTTTCCGAAAATTAGGTACCTTTTTTTGGGGGGTCCTTATAATACCGATCCTGCTATTAGGGTACTATATTAGGGTCCCCTATTATCGGAAACCCCCCATATGTTGAGCCCAGCATGGTTCTCAGCTCTTCAGCCACCCTGCCGACCTGGATCCAGCAGCTAAAACTGCCTAGCGGCCTGGTGCCTCCTGGACAAGTCTTTCTGGCAGTCGGTGCAAGGGTTTAGGGTTTAGGGTTTGAAGTCTTTCTGGCAGTCGGTGCAAGGGGGTTCAGGAATGTAAGGACAAGCAAGGACAGGGTCTACGCTTCTGCAAGGACACGCAGGAGGCTCATTACATGCGTGCGCCGCAAGAGCGTAGGAGCCTTACTAATTAGACTAGGGTTCGGGGCTGCTTTCTAGCATAAATTTTCCATTCCCTAGACCCTCCATCTATGCTCTTTAAGATTGCTTGAGACCCTAAATACCCAGGATTTGGCATCCTATACCCCTATTCGAGGGTACGGGGAACCCTCAAGAATCCATTACGGGATCTTCGGGGCGGAGATGGGGGTCGGTGAGGAGGCTTCCCTCCAAGTTCATCTCGATGACAGGCGCCGTCTCACTTGGAGGCTTTGCTCGGTTTAGGGGCGTAGGTTTTTTTGGTTTAGGGTTTAGGCGCTCTAGGGGTTTATTGTTTAGGGTGTAGGGTTTAGGGGTTATAGGGGTTGCGGGATTAGAGTTTAGGGGTTGGGGTTAGGGGTAATTGGGGATGCCGATCAAAAAGATGAAGTGCGAGTTCTGTTACGTCAGGAATCCGGTCCCTTGACCTGAATGGTTAGCTTGCTAGTTTCATCTTTGACCCCTAAACCTTAAAAACCCCTAAACCCCTAAATCTTAAAACCCCTAAACCCCGTTCAGCTTTGACAGCGAGATTCTTGAACCTCAGCTCCAAGAGCAGTTTTTCGTGCTCACGCCTGAACTCTCGAACCCGCACAAATACCGTGGACTTTCTGGGACATGGGTCGGGGTCACCCTGACTTGAGATTCTTGGTTTAGAGTTTAGGGTTTAGGGTTCAGGGTGTAGGGTTCAGGGTTTAGGGTTCAGGGTTTAGGGTTCATTGTCTCCAGGATCGAACCAGTCGCCACATGGCGCCTACCTACTGAGCGGTTGCCCTTTTGTAGCAGGAACTAAGCTGAAGGGCAGAGAGACATCCTGAATCCTCGGTAGCATGCCAGTCGCCATGTTTAGTAAACACGGCACAAAGGGAATACTATACCACTTAGGGAATACCACTTCTAGTACTACTACAGCGCCAGGACTCCGACTACCACTCATCCTATCTTGCTGCGGTTCCCATGCCAGCTAGTTTTGATAACAGCTCAAAAACAGATCCAGAGCTGAATGCTGAGGCTTCTACCAAAAGGCTGAGCCGATATGGGTTTGGTCAGCTGCGCATTTCATTAAGTTCGCGCATTTCATTTTAAGTTCTGCTCTCTTGATGCAACATTGATGCCTTAAAAAAAAATATATGTATATATATATATAATTAACTAGAATAAGATTGTCGGTACCTTGTGCTATGACTACACTGCAGGGACGAAAACGGGATATGGTTACATGTACTAATGATGCTTTGCAGACCCTCTGCCCGCTACCTCGTGCTGCGTCACACGAACAGCTGCAGAGGCGACCTGCGCAGCTTCGTTCTAGAATACTGTTGATGATATAAGTCCTGCATTGCCTTAAGGACCCGAAGCTATGGGGAATATGGCGCATTCCCTATTATGGGTAATGCAGGATGTATATCATCAGCCGTAGTTTAGGGCTTCGAGCTTAGGGTTGAGGGTATCGGCGCTTAGGGCTGAAGGTTGCTTCATACCATGGGGTCTAGCAGGTGTGATATCGAGAACTGCCGTTGCATGTGCGCAGCGCCCGGCATCGGTTCCCTGAAAAAGTCGGTTGGCTCCTTCGATGATTGAAAACTTACATGTTGCAATCTTCCCTGGCTACAGACAAATCGAAATTTCACTTTCTCGCCGAAGTCCAACATATCTTGCTACCTGCTCATTTCATGAGTCCAATCATTTTGGAATTTCCGGCATATTTAAAACATAAAGATTGCCTCTTACGTCATAAATGTGCATGACTCGCACTCGGATTTTTATTATCACTGCATCACCGGCACGTAGGTTGCTGCTCCAGTTGCTTCCACGCCAAATAAGTGCACTCCTGCTTCTTCGAAGAATCCTACACGTTTGTTCGATCCTGTTCGCTTCGTGGGCTCCTTACAGATTTCCTCCTGCTCACCCCGACCGGACTTCCGCATCAGACTTTACACCGCAATGTTTGAGATTTCGAGGTTTGGCTCTCTAAATCAGCCAGTGCTGAATGTAGCTGCACGGACATGCCTTGCGTCCTTGCAAGTATGCTTCTCTTGACGGGTGTGGCGTCTACAGCGCTCATCTTCACTATATAAAAGCCTCGAAGTTCTCACAGCCTTGTAAGCATGTGTTCAAACGATTTCATACCTACTGTTGCACTTGTTCATAAGATCCCAACGTCTCCAGAGTCTACTTTACTAAGGGCTTTGTTTCTGCTCTTGAATAACTGACGACTTCTGCATGTTCATTCTCAATATCATGAAAACGAAACAGAGGTTCCCTCTTCGTATGACGCCATATATATGACTGTCAATGACGAACTTTGAAACACGAACGATCAAAATCGATTAAAACATGCCAACAACGCCAGGTCGACAAACGTGTCGTTTGAGAACTCCAGAGAGGCTTTGCTTGTTCGTTGTTGTACTTCGTGACATTTAGTTTACAGGATTGTTTCTTCGATGTGTCTGTCCATAATGCCATATTCATCACATAATTCTCCACATCTTGGCGCTGGTGTCTCGCACATGTGGACGTCGCTGACCTGCCATGATTCAAAATGCTTGCTTCCGGTGTTCCCGATAACAGGAGGCGCAGGGTTTCTGGGGTGAGAAGCCTTAAGGACCCTAAACTATGGGTATTATGGTATATTGCTTATTATGGGTAATGCAGGATTTAAATCATCAACCCTATGTCCCTTCTTATTCTTGACCGCGGATGACCGAGTGAAGCTGTCTGCTGTTTTTTCCGGAACCCTAAACCCCTAAACGCCTAACCCCTAAACCCCAAGACCCTGAACCCTAAACCCCTTAACTGCTAGACCCTAAGACCCAAAACCCTAAAACCCCTATAAACCCCTATACACCCTAACACCCCTATAAGCCCTAAATCCCCTAAACCCTCTAGAGGAGTTTGGCCCTTCGGCCTGAAACTTCGGATTGCATTCCGTGTGGAGGCAGGAAACCTCTTCGGATTTCATCGAAACTTAGGGGTGTAGGGGTTTAAGGTTAGGGGTGTAGGGGTTTAGGGTTTAGGGGCTTTGGGTTTAGGAGTTCAGGGCTTAGGGGTTTAGGGCTCAGGGGTTTAGGGTTTAGGGGCTCAGGGGTTTAGGGTTTAGGGGCTTAGGGGGGATCGAAGCGACTGGCGTGTTTTGAAGCCCGGAGGCTGCAACAAAGCTAGAGCAAACTTGCGGATTACCGGGGCGTAGTAGAGGGTTTGGAACGGAAGGGCTTGCCCTCAGGCTCCAAGGACTCAAAACCTTAAGATTCTTGGGGCCAAAGACAATATTATTTAAGGCGCTTGGGCTGCTTTAGAGCCTTCCCTATAAATCCCTAAACACCACCCTAAACACCACCCTAAGACGCCCCATAAGGCTCTTGGGCTGCTTTGGAGCCTAAGGGTCGAGTTTTGGAGGTCCTTTGCATTGAGGTCTCTGAGGATGTTGCAGGGGCCTCGAGCCCTGATATTCAGAGCCTCCCAAATGGCCCAACAAAAAAACTCGCCTAAAGCCCTAAACCCCTAAAACCCTAAATCCCTAAACCCCCGAAGCCCTAAATCCCTAAATCCCTAAACCCGAAACCCCAAACCTAAATCCCTCTACGTCTAAACCCAAAGAGGGCATCTTACCCGGACCTCAGCTCCGAAAAGAAGGAGTCTCCCAGGCGCCCTTTCTCTGGAGCGGACGGTTCCGACAGGAAGCTGCAAAAGCTGATCTCAAGCGTGCTTTGGGTGGTATCATATAACATGATATAACATAATATAAGTATAAGATAACATAGTATAATGGCGCAAAATAATAAGCAAAAATACCCAGGCCCCTCTCTCTCAGGCGTATTTCGGAAACTTGGGATCCGCGAAGATGAAGATTCTGTGGTTGTTCTTGGAGAATTCCGCTCTGGTCCAGTGCTGCTTGAAGTCGGCCCAGACCATGAAGTACCTTAGCTGCTCAGTTTAGGTTAGGGTGTAGGGTTTAGAGAACTTCACCAAGGCCAAGAAACTCTAGACTTTCAGTTTCATGGGGGATAAGAGTAGAGGCCCCCCCCCCCCCAAACAAAAAAACAGTGTAAAGTGTACTCATTCCGCTTCCAAGGGACTTCTCCTTTTCGTTGTTGTTCATCCAGAAGACATCCCAGTCCTTTTCTGGCCATTTGCTCTTCAGCATGGCTTGCATGCATCCGGTGTCCTTGTGGAACTCACATTGCGCTCCCTCAACTCCATTGAGGAGGTCCGCTAGTCCTGCCTGGTCTTCGGAAAGGCGAGCGGTTTTTGTGTCAAGGCTCCAACCGCTTTGGACCTCATTGCCATCACGGATTGCTGAAGCAGGACTCCACAGTGTGGAGATCGTCAGCACAAGCATCAAGGATTTCGACATGAGCAAGCAACGGGAGGGTGTGGAAACAAGTCCAAGTGAGTTCTATCAAATCAAGGCGGCACATACAGGCCCTAAGCCAAGATCAGGCTGCCAAAGAGACATCTCCTCTTCAGACCCATGCAGAAGATGGCAAAGCTGTTGGAACTTCAAGGTCATGCTTTCATCCAGCTGCCTCCGCTTGTTGAAGTGCATCGTACTACCAAACACCACTGTAACACACACTGAGTGGGCAGAACACTGCCAAGCTGTGTTCTGACACAATACATGCTGGGCAGACCTCTTCGTGACTAGCGGGGAGTTGCAGTCGCCGACGCGGTGATGTTGGCGGTTTCGCTTGATTGGTTCAACTTTGTTAAAAGGACTGCAGTGCAGTTCTAGGTAGCAACTTGGGTTTAGGGCTAACAACAATCCTTTAATCCCTCAACACGTATGTTGGCACTTGTAAAGGCGACGCACTTCGTGGATCAGGGTTGAGAAAGCGTCCGTAGTATCCCTTCTAGTACCTATACTATACATGTCTACCACACTGCTCCAAACGGCCCGTGGAATCATAACCCAAAACCCTTATAGGAATCCGTAGAGTAACCGAGTAACCCTTGCCTAGTGTTCATTATTCAGGGAACCTGAAATGGGCAGATAAGATGATATGAGGGCCTATAGAACCCGGGCCCTTTATGACAGGCTATTCTTAGTCACTAAACTTAGTCACTAAACCCTAAACCCTAACACCCTAAACCCTAAACCCCTGAACCCTAAACCCTAACACCCAACCCTAAACCTTAGTCTTTTCATTCAGGCTCCTATCTTACAGCCTCGGAGCGCTCAAAAAAAAACAGGCACGCAGAAGCGAACGGCGAATCGGTCTCGTCTCATTTCTGCTCAACAGGGTATTGGGGGTATTGGAGCGCTACTGACTCCTAGCTTTCTCGGGCCTTCCGGGGAATTTAGGGTTCTTTATCCCTAACCCCTAAACCCCTAAAC